ATATATATATATATATATATATATATATATATATATATATATATGAGGATTGGTTTTCGACCAAAAAAAAATTAATAATAAGAATCCTTATGTATATGGATTCTTACGTATAAACTTTTTTTTTACTGAAAACGAATTCTTAGGGACTGTTTATCAAATGCTTACGAGTAAGCGCTTACCAAGTCAGGTTATCTTATCGGATGAATATTTTAAAAACAAAAAATCTTACTCGGTAAGAGCAAGACAAATATCAAAAGTCTTATCCTGTAAGTGAGGACGACGATTAACATTGTCGGGTAAATTGTTGTATATAATGCTGTTTTTGTTGACTAAATTCTTATTCAATAATTAAGTGATATTGTTGATTTTTAACGTTTACTACTTACATATATGTATAAATCTTTGTGTAAAGAATGACTAAAAGTAAATTTAGATAAAAGAATAACTAAAAAATAAAGCAACCTATCAATTTTGATTATTTATCTAAATTTTCCAAAACCAAAGTCATGGTTTTTTTTGATAAAGGAAAAAACTTTGAAGATGAACGAAGAGGCCACACGATAGTTTGGGTAATGTTACGTTCCACCATGTTTTGAAGAAGTTTTTGGAGAACGTATCCACCCATTAAAAATGCTGCCATTCTTGGGCAAAACCAAGACCATGATATTGACCTACTCTTCTTCCTTCATCACCCATTTACTCTCACTCCCTCCAACTTCTACTCCTACGCTCGCCATATCTTCTTCCCCCCTTCATCGATCTTCCAAGGTAAACAAGCTTCTTGTTCTTCATATCTATCTGTTTCAGTTTGCATGTAGATAGATACCGATTATGTGTACGAGCAATCTTAATTAGTTTGTTTGACGTTGGAATGGTGATTTAGGTTTTTTTTGGTTCGATTTTGAGGTACAAGTTTCGGGGATATTGTTTTTCCGGGGTGAATAGAGGAGAATTGATGGATAACAACACCAAAGTGGTTCAAGATCATGACTCAGTTACGTATTTGAATCATCGAGAAGCTGCTGAGGTTGATGAAATCCTTATGGGTTCTCTTGGATTTAGCGTCGATCAGCTTATGGTTAGTAGTTTTATAGTGAATTTAGTATTTGGAATTTTGTTTGGTATAAAATAACATCGTAAACCATAAAAAGGGCAATCCCCTGCACCATGGCTTATTGGCTTTGCTAAGTGCGATGGTTAGAGAGGAAAGTCTTTGTATGGTTTGTTACTGTGACACAAAAACTTTGACCTTCTAACAAGTCCTGAATGGATAAATTTGTCTCTTTGGATAAATAAATGAGTGTTTGTTGTTTACTTTTTTTTTTTAATCTGAATCAGCAGTCTGAATAACATAAATTGGCCGAGTTACCCCCAATATTAATTATTTGAACATCAAAAGAAAAAATCGTAAAGAGGCCGAACATGGGGTGTCTCATATGGGAAGGAGGCGGTGCTTTAAACAAGGGGTAGGGGTAGGGGTGTCATTTTTGTGGCTGAATGGGGACAACACACTATTTCTATCTGTGCGATTTGGCCATGTTTTGTGTGAATAAGCCACAAGTAAACAACCAAAATGAGCTGTGTGAATAAGCCAGATAGATCAATAAGCCTAATTAAGCCGCAAGTAAACATCCCCTTAGGAGTAGCCTAACAGTGGTCGGCATAAGATATGGTTACTAATGTGAATTATTTTTATCATCTTTTTGTTTTGATATATCATATATGCAGGAATTGGCTGGTTTGAGCGTTGCTACAGCGATTGCCCAGGTGAGTTGTTGTGTTGTCACACCAGAGCCTTTGGCTCGATTTGTTTGGACATGTAATGTTTTAAATTTTGTGGGTTTTATGTGTATGGTGTGCAAAGGAATGGTAGGCGATAGTTAGTACCATTTCTTGATTGGATGAGAAATAAAGATGAAGGGAGAGGAGATACCCGATATATGGAAGTTAAGGCTGCTGCTTGTCTATGTATGCAATAATATATGTTATTATTTGATTTCTTTTACTTGGATTCGTCATTTTATGTAATCATTTTGCATCATGAGATTGGGTTGGACCATTGTGGTGCTAGAGGTCTTGAATTTAAATCCCGTACTTGTATATTGTGTATTGAGTTATCGAGGATGTTTCAATGTGTGAGAGACACACGTTTCTTCCTCTTGAGTATGGTTTCTGAGGTGATTGAAAAAAAAAACAGCATAAAGCATAATCTTATTGGATATTTGAAGAAAGGTCTCAGGTGTGCAGTGACACCACACTTCTACTTAGTGCCTCATACCAAAGAGTGTTGGACAATCTTTATAGCTGAACCAAGTTTTTTGCGTGGTTAGCACCCTTCCACCTTCGTATTTTTTTTATGGCTGTGGCCAAATGGTTCATCATCTAACATTTTGTTGGATGTAGAAGCTGAAGAAATGTAATCTTGATATGATGGGGTCTTGGGGATGTCATCTCTTGGAGAGGGGTCAGTGTTTAGTAGTAATATGGTGTCAGAACCGTTTTACGGAGACCCTGATGGAACATGCTGCTAGTCGTAATATTGATGGAAGCTCAAGTTGTGGCATTTTCTTGTTTTTAAGAATGACTTGGTATAGTTATGTTCTAGTCCCCTTTGCATGATTTCAGGAACTATGGATCCAGTCAAGGTAAAAGTGATTGACTTGGTTTTTTGTTGCAAACAAAACATTGTTCTTGCAAAAATGCAACAACAAAACTATCTTTTGCAAGAATGATCAACTTTGGACAAAAAATTGCCAAGTATGATTTCTTTTTTTGGCATTTATTTTCCATGGTTTGACATAAATGACTACTTCTTGCAAGCTATGTTATGTATGCAAAGCGAAGTATTATGGCTCAAAGAGTCCTTCACGTATCATGGCATATCAACTATTAGTGTAATTACTTGTGTATTTTGAAATGAACCTATTTGTTGATCCACTAGAGTATGGTGAGGATGTTTCCTGTAAAAACAGGGGTCTAAAAAACTCGAAAGGGCATTGTATGTTGTCACTTTACTGTCCTTTTAAACAAAATGGAAGTGTTCATTATTGCTTAAAGGAGGAAGCGGGTTAAGTGAATAAGTTGCAACCCAACTTTTTTCTAATGAGGTGGTTAGTGGTGCCCAAGAGGGCACTCATAGTAAGGTGAAATACTCATTCAAAGGGCATTATCAATGCATTACAACGCAATCATTATAATCCCGTGATTACTATTCCTAACTTGTAGCTGATAATATTTAATGTTGTAATTCATCTCTATAATCGGGCATTAATGCATTACAAGCCAATCATTTGTGAAGCTTGTCGTACATATCCATAATATAAATTTCTCTTAGTTTCTTCCCCGAAAATACCACTTGATGCTTTAGAGGCAGATTATGCTAATTTGATTTATGCTTCTCTGTCTTGATTAACTTTCTGACAGGTTTACAATACAAAGGAGTATAATCGTGTATTGACCATATGTGGCCCAGGAAACAATGGTGGGGACGGTCTTGTAGTTGCTCGTCATTTGTATCACTTTGGATATAAACCGTTTGTTTGCTATCCAAAGCGTACCGCAAAGCCCCTTTATATAGGTCTTGTGACTCAGGTAGAGCTGGAACCTGAACAACGAAATACACATTTATTTATTGTGTCTGGAATGCTTATTTGGTATATGTGCAGCTAGAATCATTGGGTATTCCTTTCCTGTCTGTGGATGATCTGCCTATGAACTTATTGGAGGACTTCAACATTCTAGTTGATGCCATGTTTGGCTTTTCATTCCATGGTAAAATCTTTTTCTTGTACCCTGATGCAACTCTTTACTTCTCATTCGTCCTTCTCGTGAGGAAGTGCATTTAGTTCTTGTTTGGCTGCTAGAGATATGGGTTCAGGGATTAGATATTAATGAACAGAACTTGGATCATAAATGGATCATGAACAGATTCACTGTCTATAAGTAATATTTTGACCCTATTTCAGCTTATGGGTATCACGAAATTTGCTTGGGGATAATCCAAATACACACTCTGTATTTGAATGCAAAATCGAGATCAAAACACACGGATACTATTATATTTCTCATATGTTAGAATGAGATTGAAAATCCCCTTAAATAGTATTTACTCTGCCGGTTAATTTGGATGGTTAAGTGGTTGTTTGAAGATAAGAACATTCATCAAATAACTACCAATAGACAAGATTAATAACGGTTATTGCATCAAATTTCAGAAGGCGACTTGCCTTTTGAATCTAAGTCCTACATTTTGAAGTGAAGTTCAGAAGGCTACATGCCCGCTGATCAGTCAGCCGGACCACCGCCAAGGGGCTATGCCCCTAGAACCCCACAAGGGGGAGCAATCCCCTTGACCTCTGCTTTATGGCAATCTTAGGTCCACAGTAGCTTATACGAGTGTGCACTTCGCACCTCCTAATTTATGCTATAACCAATAAAACCCATCGACCTTATGTAAATCCCAACTACATTGAAATGCTTGCTAACACTAAAATCACCAATGGGTGTGTCACAGAGAAAAGTCCCTAAGAAACTAGTTTTTTGGTTTTGATGTCAATGTTATAGTCTTATAGAAGGAACGAGAAGCTGATATGAATATTAGTCATTCTACTAGATTCAGATGTATGGAAACGGGGAGGATAATGCATACCCTGTCCCCAACCGCGATCCCCATTTAAACCCCACGTCCCCGACCCTGGGTTCGGGGAACCCGTTGGGTACCAATTTAGTGAAAATAATAAAACAATGTATTTAAAATTAATATTATAGTGAACCGTCACTACATTAATTACGTATATTGAAAATCAAATATATTTATCATTTAATTATAAATGTATACATATGTATATATATATATACTTATTTACACACACTATATAAATATATTGAATAAAATAAAAAATTTAATCGGGGTCGGATTAGGGGGGGGGGGTAATGCCATCCCCGCCCCTCCCTGAACCCACTTTGGGTATGAAAATACATCCCCGCCTCGTTATGGTCGGGTACCTGTGGGTAAACTTTCCTTCTCTAGATCATGGATGAAGTGCCATCAAGCATTGATTGTCTTCTGTGATTGTAAATCCCTTTGGCATTGAATCCGATCCTTGCAGCAACACATATGGTTGCTTCCCTGTGAACCAAGGTTGCACATTCAACTTCAAGCCAAATAAACCGCCCTTTGCAAAAGTGCAAAGAAAAGACTACCCCAACTAGTTTGGTATAAACTGTTTGCTGTTGAAATGGACAAACATGATCTCTTACATCAATTAACTTCATTCTTGTCATCAAGTGCATTCCTAACAAGAAAGAAATTAGTTGGATTACAGATTTTGATCTCACATAACCTCATGTAACATTGCAACAGTCATAATTTCTGTATATCTATATCATCTTTCAGGTACACCAAGGCCACCATTTGATGATTTGATTCAACGACTAGTCAATCTTCAAAATTGTAAAGAAATAAATCAAAAACCTCCTGTCATTGCCTCCATAGATATCCCATCTGGGTGGCATGTGGAAGAAGGAGATATAAGTGGTGATGGAATCAAACCTGACATGTTGGTACGTTCTCATAGAAATCTTGCGTTTGGAACAAATAGTAAAAAAAGTAGCCGACCTTAAGCTGTTGATAAATTTATCCTTGATGGAACATTTATCAGTGAAATTTTCGTTTCGTTCAGGTTTCTTTAACTGCTCCTAAGCTGTGCGCCAAGAAGTTTTCTGGTTCCCATCATTTCTTAGGTGGGAGGTTTGTTCCACCGGCTATTGTAGACAAGTTTAAGCTTCAACTTCCACCATATCCTGGAACTTCTATGTGTGTTCGAATTGGAAAGGCTCCACAAGTTGACATATCATCAATGAGAGAGAATTATATTTCTCCTGAGCTCAGGGAGGACCAGGTGGAGGCTGATCCCTTTGTTCAGGTATGACTTATGATCCATGTGCCTTCAAAAATTTTTAGAGGCGAATCTTCGGACCGTTTTATTTTAGGACATTTTAGAGGTGAAAATTTTACCCATTATAGCATTGGGTAACCTTTTGATTTAAATTTACCCATTATTTCCATGCCACCTCATTGTCCACGTACGCTGTCCACATGTACTATAGTGATGTGACTTTCTTATTACAACATTGTACTTTCAAAATTATTTTATTATAGCATCTACTAGTTCTTATTAAACAATGTACTTTTAATTTTAATATTTAGATATTTTACATGTTATTTAATAAATATATTAAATGAATAAAAAAATTCTAAATTATTCATTAATATACCAATATTAATAAAACTTTGCTGATATTTTTGAAAAAAATGTGTTTTTTGTAAAAAAAGAAAATAAGAATTGTTCCTTTTTTTACCAAAAAAAAATATTATCTTTTAAAGATCATATCATATTTGTTCAAAAACTTTTCTTGACCTATAAATATATTAAATTAATTAGATTTTTTGAATTATTTATTAACAATTTATTTCGTTAACATTTTAGAGAGAACTTTAAAAGATATGTATTTTTTTAAACAACATAAAATAAGAAGTGTTACCTTTTTACAAACAAAATATATCTCGAAAATAATGTATCATATTTATTTAAGAAATATTTTACTTTAGAATATTTAATTTGTATGCAACTTAATAAGAAAAAGTCAAAAAAATTAAATGTTTTTTTAAATCATAGCAATGAAAAATGAAAATCACTAATAATAATTTAAAATAGGTTTTTATTTTTATTTTAGTTAAGTCATCAAAATGATGTGTCATCCACATCACCTCATTAAAGCCACACAAGCAAAAAAAAGTCAAGGGGTTAACTGATTGAAAAGGTAACAAGCTATCCATTGCTATAATGGGTAGATTTTTGTAAGTACGATGCCTTAATAAAAAATAGTTTGAAAGTACATTGCTGTAATAAAGAAAAACAAAAGTAGGATGCTATAATAAGAAAATTTATGAAAGTAGGTTGCTATTTCATGCATTCAACCCTTTTTTGTAATTGTGTATTGTTGACTGAGTCGCTTATTGACCCATTATGCATTCAGAAAAGATCAGCCAATTGGTTCCTTGATCTAGCATCATTCTTATCTGAATTCTGAAAAGTTTTATAGCCCAATTACATATAAGGCTTCAGTATGTTTGTCAGTATTTGCACTGGCCTAACATTTAAATGGTTGAATTGTGTATCCTGATGTGAGACTTTGTTTTCTCCCAGTTCCAGAAATGGTTTGATGATGCATTGGCTGCTGGCTTGAAGGAGCCAAATGCTATGGCGTTATGCACTGCTGGCATAGATGGCAAACCGTAAGTATCTGTATCTAATGAGATATCTCCTACCATAAGTATCTGCATCTAATGAGATATCTCCTTTTATTTTCATGATAAGTCGAGATTGCAAATCCAGTACCGAACTCATAAATTCTTTAGTATACTATTGCAAATCATTATCATGTCATCTCTGACTGTGCTTTTGGTTACTGAATTGCATCCCCATCCGAAAAGTAGGTAGTTAGAGACAACCGTAACAAGTATCAAGTCCTGAATCATAATATGGTTTTCTCCTTGGGTATGTAGGATACATCTGTCACAAATCATATGTAAATGAACATGACCCTAAAGAGGCCAAGTCATTGTGAAGTGACTCAACACACCCAGTCACCCACTTTGTTCAGGATCCAAAATTCCAAAATGGTGCTATGAATAGGACCCAAAAAGGTCTTTTAGGTCCTGTAATATATTCTTTGTACTTCGAGACTAGTGCCTGAATATAAGAGGGAATACAACTTATGTAATGATTATATATCAGTGGCGGATCCAAAAAATTAGGCCACTGGGAGCACATACAAGGATGTCAAAAAAAAAAATCAAAACCAAATAACCCAACCAAACCAAGACGGTTCGGTTAACGAATAAGGATAACTTATCCAGTTCGGTTTTTATTACTTAATTTACCGTTAAGGTTGAACCCAATAACACATTATACTATTATTTTTATATCAAAGTTGTTAAAATCCCAAGGCGCACTTAGGCACAAAGGGTCTTGGGGCCTAGGCGCAAGGCGCAGGCACGAAGCGCTGGCCTAGGAATGCTAGGCGCATCTTATAAAAAATTATATATATATATATATATATATAATATACATACGCACATAGTTATACACAACTCAAATATCATTCTATAAAACATAGTTATTCAATCTCAAAGAAGTAATATCAAACGTATCTCAAAAAAGTCTTGACTAGCATAAGCCTACAATGCAGCAAGTACAAGCCTCCAATGCAGCAAGTAGAAGCCTCTAATGCAGCAAGTAGAAGCCTTCAATGTAGCAACCAAAAGAGAGAAGGATTTAAAGGCCTGAGGAAGAAGTTTTGGGTTTTAAAGCCATGAGGGAGAAGCATAGGGTATGTGACGTATTTATAGGGAGCAAGTTCTAGGGTATGAGAATTGAATAGACTTATTTAATATTAGGACTTATCTAATAAATCTTTTTTGTAGAAGTCTAGGAGGTTATAAGACTTATTAATATTAGGGTTTGACTTATTTAATAACTCTCTCTCTTGTATAAGTCTAAAAGACAAGAAAGTTATTTAATAATAGGGTTTGTTTGACGGGTTTTAGAGAAATCTTCACAAGGCGCACCTAGGTCCATAAGGCGCCTCAACCAAGGCCTAGCTCCTTAGTGCTATCAATACGCTTTGCCTCAACATCCAAAAAGCCCACAAGCTTGTGCTTTATGCGCCTCAGTGCCTAGGCATGCCTTAGGCGCGCTTTTCACAACTATGTTTTATATATTTTACTATTTCCGTTATACCAACACTATTAAACACATTACACATTAGTACAAAATTCGAGTTATTTATAATGCGCTAGATGACTAGAATGAACATAATGAAATAATGTATTACACAACTAATGTAACAGATCCTTTTCATATAATATTTTTACATAACCTAATAAGATTGATAGAAAAAAACATAAATTAATGGACAATTGAGGCTTCCAAAGGGGGTTGTAGGGTTGGTTGGGGGGGGGGGTGTTTTATTGATGGGGGCACCAAATAGTGCCACAACCAAAAAACATAAAAAGATATAATTTGTCCATGGCTTCATACATGGTTTTTAAGCTTTGAGTGGGGGCCCTTCCCCCCATTGCTTAAAGGCTATGTTCGCCACTGTTATATATGATCTCGCATTACATCACTTATAACCAGTTGGTTTTTATCAATAGGTCTAACATGGTTTATGTTTTTCTCCCATGTACAAGCTAACAACCCATGTGCAACGTCCGTGCCACTTGAATGGCATGTGATGGTGTAAGCTTTCGTCAGTAACACAGGAGGTCGAAGTTGAGATAGTGGTCCCACTCCTGCATACCCACATCATGAAGATACAACTTATGTGATATGGTATATGATCTCGTGTGCTCCACTTATAACCGATTTAGAACTAGGATGCCATGGCGTTCATAGTAAGCATAATGAAGTCACGAACAAAGAACGCTCCACTTTTAGTCTTAGGTTATGTTTCAGATGTTCTACTTTATTGTCAATGTTTAGAAGATAAGTACCTTTCCGATATGCACATATACTATCTCTTGAAATAAAGAACATTTAAAATGCAAACAAAATGTGGTTCCAACGATTTAGGAACACAAAGGGAAACATGTCTGTACATTTCTACTGAATGATGCTGGTTGAATTTGTTTTCTTAACTTGCTTGCCTAGTCAAATGTGGATATGATCTATGACTGGAGGGTAGATACCCATTATTTGATCTTCCATGTTGAAAGTGTTACAAGGCATATTGTCATCATCCCGAAAGTAGATTTCAGAACCATACCGGTGCGAATACTTAACGTTTAGACAAGAGTCTGAGACATCAATAGAAAACTTTCACTTTGGACATGGTTTAAGTAAAATGTTTTACTATTTGTCAATACATACGCTGTGTTCTCGAATTTGGGAGAACATAAAAGAAAAGAAAGGAAGGGAAAAGAAGGGAAAGGAAAATAATTTTTTTTACTTGTGATCTTGAAAGAGAAGGAAAAGAAAAGAAAGAAAATAATTTTTCAATAAATTTTCATGTTCTTGAACAGGAGAGAAAGGAAAGGAAAGATGCCATTTTTACAAATACACCCTTTAAAAATGTCCTTTATAATGAAAGGTTGGGTAGTTTTGTAATTTAAATAATCTTTTTAAAGGGTTTTAATTTCTTTCATTTCCTTTCCTTCCCTTCCCTTTTCTCCCACACCTGGAAGGAAAGTTTTGGGAGGAAACTTATGATTATTTTCCTTCCGTTTCCTTTCCTTTCTCTCCTAAAAAAGTTTCAAGAACACACGTTTCTTTTACTTTTCTACCCTTTCCGTCCCTTCCTTTTCCTTTGTAAAAACATTTCGAGAACACAACGTTAAAATGCCTTCTAGTAAGTACCAAATAAAGATATATTGTCGACCCTAATCGATACCACCAGATTAGTGTGATGATGATCGACAAATAGGTAATTTGATTTGGAATCTTACTGCAATTTTCGTGGGGTTAGGAAAATTTGCAAAAGAGGCATTTGCGTGTTTGCTATAACATCTGGAAAGTGACATTGTTTTGTCGTTGATGCAGTTCATCACGAATGGTGTTGCTGAAAGGATTCGACAAAGATGGTTTTGTCTGGTTAGTGATCTGTGGTTATACAAGCATCATATGCTTTTTTAGAGCGATATACAGTTTCTTTCTAAATTTAATCATGTCCACTATAATGCATATTCAGGTACACAAATTATGCAAGCCGAAAAGCTAAGGATTTAGCTTGGAATGATAAGGCATCAATTCTATTTTATTGGGATAGGTTGAATCGCCAGGTGAGCCTAGCATTTTTTTTTCCTAGTACCGCATTTGTGTAAAGAACATGCTCTGCAATTTTATTCTTAAAGATAGACATATACTTGCCAACTTAAGTCTTCTTGCATAGTAAAACAGTTCCCCAAGGATAACAACCTCTTTTTCTAAATGGTGAAAGGGATGAAACTGGAGCATGTGACCGTGTATGATTATGATTGTAAGATTCACATCGGTTGGGGAGGGGAACTAAGGTTGCCTTATAAGGGACTAGATACCTCCTCTATTAGACGCGTTTTAAAATTGCGAGTCCAGGCGTGTGGACAAAGTGAACAGTATCTGGTACGGTTAGCCTGGGATGTTACAATGATGTTGTGAGAAGATTATCAATCAAAAGTTTTTTCTTTCCAAATGAAATTCTAGAGAAATTTTACAAGTCACTAGAGTTTCTGAACTCGTACTTGGCTTTTTGATGCAAACAAACCATCCTTCTTGCAAAAGTGCCAAAAAAATGACAATAAGTGTGAAGGAAGGTTCTTCTGAAAAATCTGTCCAAAACTGGCCAATCTTGCAAATTATAGTTGTTTTTGGCATTTCTACAAGAATGGTGGTTAGTTTGTAATGTGAAGTCACATACAGTGATTCAAGAAACTAGTAACTCAAAACTTTAACTCTTGATGTCTATTTCAACTCTGCATCTTTGCTGATGCTCAGCTTCATGATCTCTTACATCTCCATGTTTTTTTTTCTTTTAAGTTTTTCGAAAGGTAAAGTAAGGGGCGTTTACCAAACACTTACCTGGTAAATGCTTACGAGTAAAATTCAACACTATTATTTACTTATCGGGTAAGATTTTAGTCAACAAAAACGGCATCGTATGCAACAATTTACCCGATAAGCGCTAACCGTGGTAAGAGTCATAGCTTTCACTTATGGGGTAAGACTCTCGATCCTTGGCTCGCTCTTGCCGGATAAGATTCTTGGTCCTTGTCATATTTATCCAGTAAGGTAATGTGAGTTGGTAAGCTTACCAAGGTAAGCGTTTGGTAAACGGCCCCTAAATTGTATTGAATGTCTCCAACATAAAAGTCTTGAGCTTGGAGATTGAAGAAGCTAGAAAGAGCACCCTTACATTCAAATCTCAAATACAACAATTGAAACCTGAGACTGTGGGTGTTCACTGAGGGTGCGTTTCGTATCTAGACAGGATAGAACACGACAAAGTAACTATTTAGAGTTTTGTAAGACAAAACTGGAAAGGGCATAATAGATAAATGACCAATTTACTCCTAATGAGTTGTTCATATATTTTATGTTGTTTGATTAATTATGTAATTTATCAAGTTGTAATAAAATAAATATTTTTTATAACAAAATATATCATCCGGAAGTTTTCGTCAAGATGATTGAAATGACAAAAAAAAGAAAAAGTTTATGTCGTTTCATTTATACCTTTTCTATATTATTTTTTATTAATATTTAATAAATTACATAATTAATCAAGATATAGAAACTGTATATAAATAATATTTTAATGACAGTAAAATGAAAGTTTAAAGAGCATAAAATGCAGTAGATAAAATTTAGAGAATGAATAAAATTTAAACATAAAGGCTTAGTTGATGTTTTAGAAGATAATTATCCATTTTTAGATGGACCTCCGATAACAGCTTTTTGGGGTGATAGTGGAAAAGTTGACAGATAAGTCACGGAGCGTGAGTTAGGGCCTAATATCGGGCCGAAAGGCATAGTCGATGGACAATAGGTGAATATTCCTTTACTACATAGGTGTTATTTTGAGGTTATATTGGTAAAACAAAGGTTTGTTCCACCTTGTTCTATGGGGTGGGGGTCGTACACTTTGTTCCACTCTATTCCTGTCTGTTCCAATAGAAGTCTTGGCAAACATGGAACAGTGATCCTGTTCTGTTATGTCTTGTCGAGTGTACGAAAACGCACCCTGAATGTTAATTGGGCTTGTTACGAAGGTCATGGCTTGTTATTTGTCTCTGATTTGGGCCTATAATGGAAAAGTTGACAAATAAGTCACCATATCGAACTTACAAATTCGCCAATTATGAGTTGCGTGCATACAAATTGTTGAAAAACTTGACTAGCCCATTCAACTCTATCGTCCCTCTACACTTAATATTTAACTTAGATTGAAATCAAAGTGGATTGGGCAGACCCAACGTCTAGGTGGCACTCTATCCGCTTAGTAGAACAATCTGCAACATATGTTTGCATTGAAGTCCAATAACAGAAGACATTGCATTTTGCACTTAAGAGTTGTAACATACTTGCAGCAACAAATGCAAGTGAGAGGATTGAATTATGATCTTGCTAAAACTGGGCACTTTACTAGCGTTTGGGTCACGAACTCCTCTAAAGGCTCAAATGGGTAGACCAACTGCCATTAAGCTCTTCACTTAGGCACTCAATTATGAAGGCTATCAAGCTCACTCTTCTGTTTAGTCAAGGATACTAAGGGTCTGTTTGTTAGCAGCTTAACGAGCTTAATGGGACTCACAGCTTGTTCGGTCAGCTATGCATGACTGTTTGATAGTGGCTTAATGATATAGAAAGTGACTTATCTAGTAAGCTTCTAAGGGGATCTTTATGCAGAAAGCCAAGTTTTTTTTTTCCAAACCAGCCCCTCCCAACTGAAAAACAAGCTTCTTCCATCTATGAAAAAACCCTCCCAAACAGAAACCTTCTCAATCCATACAGATAGATTAATCCACAGAGACAACTTTATCCATGCAGGGCTTAATGGAAAACCAACCTAACAGCTCCTAACTGTATCAAATTGCTCCATGAAATGTCGTCTTAGTTAGTTTATGACATTGAAGCTTGATTAACTTAAACCCTAAACCTAAAGGTACATAGATCTTTTCATATTAGATGAGAACCCCTTTATCAGTTACGTTCTTTGATTGCCAGGTGCGAATCGAAGGGTCTGTGAAGAAGGTTTCTGAAGAAGAATCCGAGCATTACTTCCATAGTCGCCCTAGAGGAAGTCAGATTGGTGCAATAGCTAGCACACAGGTTTTTGTTTCGTTCTTTTTTGATTTTCCATCACTTGATGTTACTTGCTCCTCTTTTCTGCACGGACGACTTACAGTCTTACGTTTTTCAGAGCACTGTAATTCCAGGACGTGATTTTCTCCATGAAGATTATAAAGATTTGGAAGCAAAATTCTCTGATGGGTTAGTGATGTATATATATATATTTGAATTATAGGTGTTCTTAGATTTCTTGCTGATGTTTAATCGGTAAAATAATTTGTTTTTCTGCAGAGCTCCAATCCCGAAACCAAAACATTGGGGTGGTTACAGGCTTACACCTGAATTTTTTGAGTTTTGGCAAGGACAGCCATCTCGATTACATGATAGGTAGTCTTCTTTATTTTTCTTCTTGCTAAATTTCATCTAATAATGATAAGAGGGTTTCACACAATCTAAGGGCCTGTCTGTTAGCAGCTTAATGAGCTTAATGGGACTCGCAACTTATTCGGTCAGCTATACATGACTCTCTAGTAGTGGCTTATTTAGTAAGCTTCTAGGGGGAAGCTTTATGCAGAGAGCCAAGTATCTTCCAAACCTGTCCTTCCCAATTTAAAACTGCTCATTCCATCTATGAGAAAACCCTCCCAAACAAAAACCTTTTCAATCTATACAGACAGATTAATATACAGAGACAGCTTTGTTGGAATGTAGGCTTCGGCCTACTAAGTTAGACAAAAGGGAGGAGGCATAAAGTAAGGAGCCAGCCCTAGCCCAAAAGGAGCCGGTCCTAGTCTCTACCCTAGTTTCCTTGATTAGGAGATAACCCTAATTATGTTTGTCTATATATATTAATCTCATTGTACTTGTAAACATTTGTAGCACCTAAATAA